GGTGATGGTCTTTTTTGGTTTTGGTGCAGATGTTGATGATTTTTTAACATCAGTTTTTTTAGTTTCATCAGCTTTTTTAGTTTCATCATCATCATTTGATGATTCTTCCTTTGGAGCTGGATGACTTAAATAAATCTTACGATCTTTAAATTCATAATCAGTGAATTTTTTGATAATTGAATCTAAATCTTTAACTTCTGGGGCAAAAGTAATGAAAACATAACCTTTACTCTTTGGTGTACCTCTTTTACCATTCTTAGTTCTTGGTGATCTGGTTGGAATTTGAATTGATTCAATTAAATAATCTTTGAACAATTCTTTTAATTCTTCTTTAGTGGTACTATATTCAATGTTACCAACATATAATTTGTTATTTGATGGAGTAGTGGCAGTTTCAGCAGACATTTTTAATGAAAATTTGATCGAAAGTTTTAATATTCAACAATTAAGAATTTGATAAAAGTTTTAATATTCAACAAAAGAGAACTCTTTTTTCTGTGATTTTTGTTTTGTTTCAATTGTAAAGAAGTTGTCAATTGATTCTTTTGTTGATTCAAGTCAAGTGCTTTTTTTTTGGCCAACGATTTGGTTTTTTCAATTTTTCTACAAATTTCCAAAGAAAAATGTGGCTCAAACCAGGGAAATGAAATGGATAAAACAGGTATAAAATTGGAATTAACTTGGGGTTTTTATAAGAAAAGTGTATTTTTTGATTAAATATTTGAAATTATTGCGTAGGATTTCATAGTAATATCTCTTTTTTAGTATATCTCAACTATTCAATTAACTCTCAATTCATCAATTTCATGATCCAATGGAAATTTTTCATTTGGACTTGCGCAGCTCGTGTGATTTGGAAAAAAAGACTGGTTTGTTGATAAAAGTTGATGAAATAGGATATTTTATATAGACAAGTGCTTCATTAAACTTGATAAATGGACTAAGCGTATCACTATCGACTACATATCTCTTAATTGAAATGATACCTTTTATATTACATTTGTTATTTGTATTATTAACTATTTTGCTGACTAAGCAATTATAAAGAGATACTACTAATCACGTTTCCCTACAAATTTCGAACTAGTCCGTGATAGTTTAGTGGCTAGAATCACCGTTTGTCGTTTAGACAGTACATGGTAGACCGGGGTTCAATTCCCCGTCGCGGAGCTTATTTTTTGGACTTTCGGGGAAAATCCCAGTTTTTAGGGTCTAAATGGCCGTTTTCCTTTATTTTTTTTGCATTTATGAGATAAGTATAGTCCATTACATCTATTTTCATACTTTTTAGGCCATTTCCCCTTCATTTTCCGTTGTTTTATTCACTTTTCCTGTCAAAATTTTTGGATTGTTTTCCAATTTTCGAAATCTGAAAATCTGAAATCTCATGAAAAACACGAATTTGATCAAGAAACAAACTACAAAACAATCAACATTTAATTCAACTGGGTTGGTTAAATACAAAGAATTAAATCAAAAATGAACAGCTACATTCAGAACTATGGCGTGAGTATTACACAGCTGATCCTTCTCTAGACATATACTAACACCCACAAAGGACCAACCTCTTGATCTGAGTACAGCGCCATCATCTTCATCAAACGTTTCAAGTTATTTCATGAATCAACACCATTCACAATCAAGTAATAACGGGAACAATAATAATAATGGCATATCTAATCAATTCTGGAGAAAGCCAAATACTGCAAACACAACTTCATCTTCCACGTTCACCCCAATAACATCTGCAAATAATAATAATAACAATACTGCTAATTCATCAACATCTACAATCCCACCACAATATTCAAATCAACAAAGATCTTTTAATAATGATCGTCATTTCAATCAAATCCCAACGAATAACAACAATAACAATTTTGATTACCCTTCAAATAATAATGAAAAAGAAGAACGTTTGAAAATTGATTTGAGAATTAAAGAAAGTCAAATAGAATCATTAGAAAATGAAATTCAAAGATTATCTGAATCAATGAATTTAATTGATTCCAAGAATAATAATTCATTATTATCAAATAATCAACAAATTCCTAAAAATATTAATGAAATTTTTAATAAATTAACAAATAATTATACAATTTTAGAAAATGAATTAAATGATACAAAAAAAAGATTAGAATCTTTAATCACTTCAATCACTTTAAATCCAACAAATTCAATAACTAATAATGGAAGATATGATGAATTGGAAATTTCTCACAAGATTATTTTAAAATTAGATTTATTAAAACAAGCAAATGAAGAAATGTTGAAACAATTAAGTTTTGGTAAAAGCAAACAAGTTGATATTGAATTGAATTTATTAAAAATGGAAAATGCTAAATTAAAAGAGAA